ATGATTGAGTAATGTCCAGGTAAGAATCTTGTTATGTTTTATGAATAATAGAGCAATTTTGAAAGGAAATATTTGCTTTTTTCATTCGTGAATTTTGAGAATGCACGTGTTTGATGACCTCTGATGTCTGAGTCAGAGTAACATCGCAAACATATTATTCACCTGAGTACACAACACCAACATAGAAAAATTCATATTACAAGAATACATTGGTATTGAAGGAACTAATAGATACTGTTCCGAAATATCACTTACTCGAACCGTCCTGACCGCGTAGCTCACAGTTGGAAGAGCATTGGGCTAGTATTCCAAAGGTCGTAGGTTCGAATCCCACCGTGGCCGGGCATGTTTTTCAAGCTCGCCTGGTGTGGATATGCACTCAGAGTAACATCGCAAACATATTTTTAACCTATTTTATGTATATTTAAAATCTATTTTATTACCAATGTTTCACTTTACTTTATTATTTTATTTCTATTTTGCACTCTATTTTAAATATATTTTATTCTATTTTAAACCTATTTTAATCTGTGCTTCACCGATTCAGAAAAATAAAATCTATTTAAAATAGGCTATTTTTTGTTTCAAAAAAACCTATTTATATAATAGCTATAAAATACAATTAAAACAGAGTTCTAATAGGTTTAATATAGGATTTGTATATGTGATAGCAATATGATAGGGTTAAAAATAAAATAGCTTCTCTATAGGAATAAAATAGAAAGTAAAATAGGGATAAAATAGGGTTAACATAGTGTTGATTTTCGTAAGGGCTGTATACACCAGTTACAGTACAGTATGTATAGTATTTATACCGTCCATCATTTTATTATCATTCTAAGCTTAAAATATGTCAGGTAAATGTCATATGACACATACAGGTTATATCAAATTATATTTGCACAGACAAAGCATATAAACACTCAACTATGGCAGGCGAGCAAGTCCAGGAAATCATCTTTGTTTGCAAAATATCTAGTGTACAGTAATTGCCCAATAACTCAGGCAATGCAAAGCAAGACCCTTGTCACGAGGCATGCCAGCTCATTTCCGTATAAAATGAAAATGAAATTAAATAAGAGATACCACTGGAAGTTGCAATTGCTTGGCATAAAATGTTTCAAATTCGGCCACAAGAAATGTTCGAAATTTTGCGGATGGCGCGCGTATTTTTTTGGAGTCTGGAGACGAAATTAATTTTGGAAATGTGCGCTATTTTTAGACAGCTGCGGTGACATGAAGGGTATCCTTAGACAAATTTGTACTTGGGAGATGAATAGCGTGATATTAGGGGATCAGAATGGTACCAAAGTTGCCATGACTACCTTTATTGTTTTGCCGCTTGCGAGCATTCTTTGAGAGCAATTTCGCAAACAATGGCGCATCGAAGCCAAAATGTTAAAATTGATGAATTTCGGCTTCGAATAACTTTTGTTTTTAAGGCCATCCTTTTATAATATTTGGTAGGACTAAATTTATAGCCTTTATCTAAATTCC